CTTTTCAAAAACGTTTTCCCACAACTGATGTAAGAATAATATAGTTACTGGGACAATTTTTATCACCTCCCTTGAAAAGAGGAGTTACATTAGCTAACTTCCAATCCTCTGGTACCTGCCCACTATTCAAAAAGTGACAAAAATATTAATAAGTGACTCATATATCCAATCTTTAACTTCAAAACCCTTGGGAAAATATTATCTGGCCCAGGAGCTTTATCATTTTTTAAACTTCCCAATTTTTTCTTAACCTGCTTTGAATTAATGCAGTCATCTTGTTGGATCTCGTTTCCATTTATGAACTGTTCAAGATGTGAAATACTGCTTAAATCTTTGTCAGTAAAAACTGCAGAAAAAGCAAAATTTAATAACCCAGACATCTCATAATCATCAGATACTAGCCTTCCTTTATCATCCCTCAAGGGTCCTACCCCCCATTCTAACATTTTGTTTACCATTAATGTATTTAAAGAATTCCTTACTGTTAATTTTTACATTTTTAGCCAATCTTTTCTCATGCATCCTTTTTGATGTCCTAATTTCCTGTTTCACCAACTTTCTTGGTCTTCTGTAATATTCTAAATCTCCTGTCATATTATTCAATTTAAATTTCTTAAATTTATGATATTTCTTTAATTTTATCACTTAAACTCTTTGTAAACCCATCTGGTTTTTTACTTGCACCTACCCTTTTCTTTCTATAAGGAACAAGTTTACCTTGAATATTTAAAAATTTATCTTTAAAATTTTCTACATCTGATCAGTGTCTCCAAATAACTCAGCTGCCCAATTCACAATAGATAATTCTTGTTGCATCCCTTAAAAATTTGTCTTTTTGAAATTTATAACCCCAAAATCATTATTCCTTATCTCCTTATGCAGCAAAACATCGAACCTAATAGAGCAATGATCACTTGCTCCCAGATGTTCTTCAGTTCCCACCCTCTTGATCATTTCTGTATTTGAAGTTAGCAATAAGTCTAAAATAACATTGTTTCTAATTGGTCCTTGTAAATGAACAAGTACTTTCAAAGTCAGGAAAAAAAAATGCTTCAATGACATAACTTGAATAAATTGTTTACAATAAAACAATATAAACTTCTGTGATTTCCAGAGATAACTCAGGCACCATCCATGGGTCAAAAAATATTTGTCTGACTTATCTCTAACAAACCATTTCTTGCTGTACTTTTAATTATTCTCCCCAATTTATTTGCATGTTATGATGTATTACAATCAGTGCTCACTAGATAGCATTGGAAATACTGTTTGTGCTGATCTCTGTTGAATATAGTCCAAGTTATGTATCATAAACACAAGAGAAAAGCATTCCTATTCTGTACTGTAGTTTCATTGAAATAATATATGTAACATATAAATCCAGTTATGTAACATTTATTTAACACATATATTTTGTGGAGAAATGTAATAACAAATCAGAAAAGAACTTTTGTTTCATTAATATAAAAGTATAGTGTATCAAAAAGCAAAATAAAAACCTGACTTTTTTTTCTTTCTTTTTTTTGAGCTCATTTCCAAATAAAGCCTGACACAGAAGGGGTTAAGCCTAAGCTTTGAGGCTTATTACAACTCTTCTTCAGAGGCATAAACCAAACCTCACCAGCATATGAAACACTGCGTATGATATAATTATAATGTTCAGTGTGGGAGGGGCACTTGCCAAAATTGTCATGAACTAGTTCATCATTCTATCACTCTATCAATACAAAATGAGGGTGAGCAGAAAGGAAACGAGCATTAAAATATGTCAAACTACTTCAAGAACAATGCTAAGGATTCGTTAGAGTTTGGTAATTGCAACTTTGAGGTTGCTTGTGAACTACAATAATTAAGCTCTTCCATTTTTTCTCATATTTTAACTTAAGGTTCTTCCTTTTTTGACTAGATGTTTTGGTTTTTAAAATTAATGTACTATACATGTCTGTAGTCTTAACCTTAGACTATATATATATATATAGTC